AAAAAAAAAAAAAAAAAAAGAAAAGAAAATATTCTTACATTAAAGTCATGCTATAGATTGAAAAAAAAATATCATACATTTTATCTGTGCTCCAGAGGAAAGAAGTTTTATGTTTTATTTGTAAAGAACAAAATTCTCGAGGAAGAGTCCATTAGACGGATGCATTGTAATCTGACCAGGTTAATTCTAAGTGGAATTTCTACGTGAAAATCAGCATGAACATGGTATAGGGTTCCTTGCATTATATTGATTTGTGTGTTTTTAATAAGAAATTTCTCTATGAGACAAAGAATCCCTCCTACTCTGGGGAAATGAGTAGCCTCTGTTTTCACACAAACACCTTATCTAGTGTCTAGATAGCCAAACTTCATGTATATAGAATGGAATCTTATCTCCAAGAGTCACACTAAAAGTGTCTGGGGATGTCCAAACCAGCTGCACAATTAAGAAAGAATCTCTGTGAGTGAAACCTTGTGGCTGCCCCATAAATGACATTACTTCATAGATACTAGTCTTCTGTCCAGAAACAAAGGAGAAGCAAATGCAGCATTGTTCTCACAGGCTTAGTTTTCATATTTCTACGAATTTTGGAAAGGTGTTTTAAAATCAAGTTGAGTAGATGCAAGGTAAATGCAGTAGTTTACAACCTGTTACAATGCAGGTGTGAGGGGTGTGTGTCCTGGGCTTCCCACGTGCTCAGTGGATGTGACCTTCCACAGTGCTTTATTTGACTGCACTGCACAATTTCATGGTGGTAACTCAGCTTCAGGAAAGAAAAACAGATCAAGCTTGACATTTTCCATTCACAGTTGAACCGGTTAATCATAGAGTGGAGGGCACTGAAGGGTAAGCTAATCAGAAAGGCCCAGAAAACAGTGCTCGGCAGCATCTATTAGGTTAGTTCAGATTGCATTGATCGGTGGCATCAAAGACCGAGATTTCCTGCGACCCATTTGCACAAAGATGTCCATTTTGAAATAGGGCAGATAATGGAAAGAAAGTGACTTGTAGAGCAGACATTTCACCCAAAGAGGCTCTTAAAAGTGGGAAAGTACTAACCTCTGCGTGAGGCTTCAAAACTATCAAAAAGATTAATTCTCTGGATGTCGTAGGTCAACGTGGTGTTAGGCATCAGGGTTCGGTTTCTGTTAATGCTGGTGACTGCAAACTTGAACGCTAATTCTTCAACATTAACAGGTTCATTTTCCACAGTTTCAAAAATCCCTCCTGCAGAAGCAAAAGAGATGCATGAGAAGCTCTAACCACGTGATTCATACAGAATTTTTAAAAAGAAGAATGTAAATTATACAAACAAAAGACCCCAAATGACCAATGGTGGAATAGTTGCAATTAGTCCCAAACCTGAACTGACCAGTATTCCTCGTTCCTCTCATTCAGTGACCTGCATGGAATGTTGAATGCTTGTAACTCTCAGACTATTACCTACTCTCTCTCACCTGTGAATGATTCTTTCCCAAAAGTCAGTTGAAGATTTCCCCCTTAGACTTATCTGTGCTAGAGTAATTTGAAAGTGCTTTAAGCTCTCATTCCTACTCAAGAAAAAAATATATAAAAGGAAAACAATGAAAATCAAAGGAAGTGTCATGGCTATTATTTGTACACATTCTTCATTATAAAGGGACACACTTTAATTCAAAGAAATTACCTTGATCCTACTTTGAAAGAATAATAATCAAATGCCTATCTAGAATATTCCCTGCTAAACTGATTGTCTCTAATAAATAACCAACCACAGTATAAGCTTATGAAGGTTAAGAAGGTTTATACAGAGCTATTTAGCCTCATTTGCAAAGATTTCCGGCTTCTCTGGACTGGAGATTTGAGGTATTCATGTTTAGATAATTCATCTGTGTTCTGAGAAATTATAACTGAAAACTGTATGACAGTGTTATGTGACTTGACTTACCTTGTAATAGTGAATATATACCAATGAGCATTTCAGAAATGCAATAGAATTACATCTCATCTATATTTAGTTTGGTGTTTTATTTTCTAACGTCAACTCATAGTTACATACATCATTTTCATGATCCTGTTGAAGAACCCATACATTCATTCAACGGCCCATTCAGTCATGTATTCATTTATTTATAAAATGCTTAGCCTACTGTGAGCCAGATATTGTGCAAGGCCCTGGAGATGTACCAGTGAACATAAGAGACAAAATTCTGTGGTTTTGATTATTCTAGAAGGGGAACTGATCATGAAGAAGGGCATTGAAAGTTGGGCGGTGCCTGTGGCTTAGTGGGTAGGGTGCTGGCCCCATATATCAAGGGTGGCGAGTTCAAACCCGGCCCCAGTCAAACTGCAATAAAAAATAGCTGGGTGTTTTGGTGGGCGCCTGTAGTCCCAGCTACTCGGGAGACTGAAGCAAGAGAATCACCTAAGCCCCAAGAGCCGGAGGTTGCTGCGAGCTCTGATACCATAGCACTCTACTGAGAGCGACAAAGTGAGACTCTGTCTCTAAAAAAATAAAGGCATTGAAAGGGCATGGACGTGTCAGGGTAAGAGGTTGGGAAGTTCCTCCTCAGGAGGACAACTTTTGAGTACAAACCTGAAAGGAGGGAAGAAACTGCTCTGAAGGTGTTGAGAGAAAGAGCATTGCAGGCAGAGGAAACCGAATGTCTAAGGTTGAAGCTGCCCAATGTTACTTTGGAGGAACGGTGAGCTTCTGGTTGGCTGAGCCAGGCTTAGAGTGGTAGAAGGTAAGCCCAGAGAAGTGACGGGGTTGGACTGGACCTGATCCTAGAGGGCCTTATGGGCCACGATAGCATCATGGGTTTTATTCTGAGTGAGGTGGGAAGCCACCGGCAGGCTTTGAGTAGTGAGATGATGTGACATATTTCAGGAGAATCATACTGGCTTCTGTGTTAAGGATGACTTTAAAGAAGAGGGGCCAGAACAAAACACAGGGAAAACTGCCCTTACAGCTTTTGCAATAACAAGCCATTGCAATAAGAGACTATTTTATAATCCAAGCAAGAGACTGATAATTGTTTGGTACAGAGTAGTGGTGTTAGTATGTGGGGAAAAGGCCGTTGAATTCTAGAAAAAATTTGAAGGTGAATCTGGCAGGATTTTCTGGTGAACCATAAGTGAGAGGAATATGTTAAAGGATGACATGAGGTTAGGAGCCTAAAATTGCCAAAGACCAAGGTAAGCAACTGTGCAGGAGGTATTTGATCTGGGCATGATTATTTTGTGATGCCCAGTAGAAAGCCCAGTGGAGAGGCCAACTATGAAGTGAGATACACTGATCTGGATTTCATGGGAGAAGTTGTGCCTAGGTATAGAAATTTGTGAGTCATTACCATAGAGGTGGCATTTAAAGCCATGAGACTTGATGGCATCACGCAGGAGTAAGTGGACACTGAAAGAGACACAGATTGGAATGATGTGGCCACAAGTCAAAGGATGCCTGGAAGCACCAGGAGCTCCAGGAAGCGAATCTCTTCTAGAGTCCTTGGAGGAAACAGGTCCCTGCCAAAACCTTGATTTCAGACTTTTAGCCTCTAGACCTGTGAGAACAAAATTGTGGTGACTTAAGCCATTGAATTTGTGGTGATTTGTACGATAGCCATACAACTACACAGTATCTCAATTGTCTTAAAGTTTCCATAGTGGTCACTTCTAATTACTGTACTTCCTTCCTCTTTGTAAAGTGGAAAGCTTTACTTCAAAGAGAAATTTTTAACTAATATCCCTTTGCGAACATAGCATATAGCTGTGCTGTACAACACGTTTTGTTTATTACACTTTCCTATTTTACTCTGAATATGACAGGGCCGAGATGCTACTGTATATATCGTAATCAACCCCGCTTACTCCCTTAATTAACCGCTGTGTGCCCATTGTGAACACAGTGCAAGGTCACGGAGGAAGAAAGGGTAAAACCATTAGCTGACAATCAAGGCGTGGGAAGCTTTAGTCGTGTTGAATCCTGGTCTGCATTCCCGTGGAATAAAAACCATTCCAGAAGCTATCAACAGAAAACAAGATGGCAATTTGATCTATTCCTTTGCTGATAGCTGCTCCTTAAATATACAATATTCTATTGCTTCTCTTTATTGCCACATCCATAATTCTAGTTTATTACATCATAAGCAATTTAGTATAGGCCTATATTTACTGCACCTTTAATCTCAAGGCTACACGTTTATATTCTAGGATTCCCTTAGATAAATGTTCTCCTCCTCACTCAGCTTCCTTCTTCTCATTTTACTTTTGGAGACCATCACAGCCTTTGTTAAGATCTCATGCTGGATGAATTTGGGTGGAAATCTGCCCTTCCCTGACCTGGTAGAAACTGAATGGACAGGAGGTCCCTGGATTTTTGCCTTTGAGGAAGCCTTGGTCAAGGACAGAGCTGTAGGTAAAGATAAAGACAGCCTCAATGGTCTTGCAACCCAATCTGCTACAAGTGTCCTTTGAAGACGGAGGATGGTGTTTGATACGACCCCTGACAAGGTGAACACGTCTCAGCTCTCTCCTTTATACTTCGAAGACTTCTACATGACTTCAGTAGGAATGGCCTTCAAGGAGGGACAAAGCATGTCTATGCAAGAAGGAATTACGGACACGCTTCAGAGGGTAGCTAGCAAGGGAAAAGCTGTAAGTTATGGAGGGTTTAGCAGGAACCACCAGGAATTTTTCTTAATAACTTGGAGTTGCACATTAAAGAAAAAATCCAATGCCAAACTTACTCTTACTCTGGTGTTATTTAACACTCAATTCATGGAACATTATTGGCCACCTGTTAATGTCTAAAACTATGCTAGCAGCAAAGGAGGATACAACAATGAAAACACTTGATTCTGCCCTTAGCAGAGACACCCATCTATTGGGATAGGTGGCACTGCTGGTGGTAGATTATGCAGAAAGGATATGATGTACGGCGATCAATTACTCCGTCAACGAAGCAAGAATCCCACTGTTTATGTCTCTTCTACCGAGGATCTTTCCAAAGCCCTCCAGCCATTGGAGACCTTGCCCTCTCTGTTGATAACAATGTCTACTGCATATTTGGGGGAATTTATTTTGGTGTAAAGTCTCAAGCTTAGGTCCTGTCTATGCCTTGAAGGTAGAAACAGTGTTTATAGAAATAAGCCCTCTCCTTCAAAATCAATGCAATGATTTGGATATAGCATGTTGTCCACAGTAAAAAGTTCTTCAGTTGAATTGATTCTCTTCCTTGTACCTTAACACTATGTCCCACAAAGTATTATAGTTTGTTCTGCCAAGACAAAGAGGCCTGTGAGAGAAACAGGGAAGAAGGAGCGTGGTTGTCAAGGCCTGTAGTGGAACCGCTGACTTTCTCCACTACTGCCT